TGAGAAAATGACACTTGTCACCGTGATATCGATACCAGAGATCTTCACGCAGTTCCAATGCGTGACTTACCGTGGCGTTCAGTTACATCTAGAAGCATTTTAGATCTGCCTAACCCGGGAGCGAGTGCGTATTTTGAGAGAGCAGTCAGGCCCATGTTGTTCGCTAAGACATGGTCTCTTAGATGAAACTTATGCGATTTTTAGGCTATTAATGCACCTCATAAATGTTAAGAGCGACTTGTATGCCCACCTAAGGAGGACAGAGAACTAGGAACGCCCCGCCCGCGTAAACAAGGGAGGCTTACGTCAAATGTCAGGAGCACCTATCCTAACAGAAAACAAAATTGTAAACCTCATCTCTACCCTAGCTCTAACCTAAGCCTAGGCCCTACAGCGACCACGATCCCTTAAATTAAGGCTTCAGCATGACCTTGCTCAGTCTAAGCCGTAATCCCTAAGTTAATCTTAACCCTAATTTCCCTAAAATTTGATCCAAATCAGTTTGTACGTATAGGTCGATCGGGTGGTGGTAGAGCTCATCGCGCACCACGTTTGTCACTGGCTGTTAGATAACCAATCAGATTCTCCCTACGCGTAACCACTTCGGTGCTCAGACTGACGGCACACGCCTGACTTATCGATTCAGGTGGTTTATGTGATTACTCTAGCCCGTGTCATGGTCTGCGGTTTCAGAAGTAGAGTGCGAAGCCTTATACGTGTGACTGAGCTTAGGCGGATCTCAAGCGTACTGATGACGTATGCTGAACGTATGCTCGCTTAAACTGAGATAGTGGTGTATCACGTGGCTATTATAACGGAGGCCCAGGCCGAGATATCACCTCGCCAAATTATTGTAACGAAGCCCAGGCCGAAATATTCGCCATCTAGTTACCCCTTATGTGAGCCCCCAAAGAGAGAACACGACAGAAAGTGTGCAGAAGCGGAAGTCTTTGAGTGTTCTATGTACAAAAAAGTTAGGGAAACAAACGTATGTCAACGATATCCCTTGAGCCAATTAGATTCTCTCCTGAGGTAGTGGCTAGTCCCATTGGCTGTTGGCTCAGTGAGTGAATGTAGCTAGCAATTCAAATTATCGATGGATTGTCTAGCTCGAAGTGGTAGCTCGCGCATAGGCCGATCGATAGCCTATT